GGCTGGGGATTCAAACCCGCCACCTTAGGTGTATGTGGCTGGTGCCTTAGCTGCTGGAGCCACAGGCGCCAAGCCAACTCATCACTGCCTTTTTCAAACTTGGGGAACTTAGACCTTAGAGGCTCAGTGTTCTGGCTTGGTGGCCCCTCACCCACCACATACCTTGGTCAGGTATCTGATCACAGGCTCCATAAGGCCTGAATCACCCTTGCCAGCTGCCACACAGCTGAGCTCCAGGTGCAGGAGGGTGCAGGCAGGCAGGCTCTGCAGGACCCGGGCCAGAGTAGAGGAACCCAGGGCATTATAGGACAGGGACAAGGTCTTCAGGTGCTTGGCATCTATAATGGGGCCAGAACCTGTCAGCCCCATGTGGCCATCCCCTTGCCCCCACCTATATTTCTGGGTCCAGACCCACAGGACCCCTTTGGAGAAACTGTTATCCTTAAAATTTTATGTGTAGGGGCAAAGGCACTCACTCAAGTTCTCCTAGCAGGGGAGGGGCAGGACCAAACGCAGGAGCCCAACTCCTCCCCACCATTTCTGGGTTCCTCATCCACTCGACCCACCCAAGATAGTCCTGGGCCAGGGTGTGTGCACAGTGGGGTGAGGGGGTGCTTCTCCCACAGAACACTCAGGGCTGGGGGAGCACAAGCCCTGTGGTGTGTCCTGAGAATAGCCCAGGAGGAATAAGCAGGAGATGCCCCAGAGTCCAGGCGGACCCAGCACCCATGTGAGCGTCTGTGTGCTCCCAGAGCCAGCCCCAGCATCCCAGGCCCCTTTTTGTTCATATGACCCCTGAGTCCCTCAACATCCTGGGGTCAGGGAGTAGACCAGGAGTACTAGGTCAGCCCACCTTGGAAGGCGTTCCCCAGAGCTGCCCCATGGCTCAGGAAGAAGCTGGAGCCGAAGGTACAGGCCTGCAGGTGCAGGGTGCTGAGCAAGGGGCAGGCCTGCAGGAGGGAGGCCAGGGCTTGGCCACAGTTGTCCCCCAAGGGGTTCATGCTCAAGTCCAGTTCCTCTAAGTTCTGTGGAAGACAATGGCTGGGAATTGAGCCTCCATTCCCCCTCAGAGGCTAGCTATGCTGGGAGTCAAGGTAGGATCCTCCCACCAGCTAGGCCCTCCCACTGGCCAGTTCTTAATCACTGCAGCCTGCCGGTGCCTGGCTGATGGGAAAACTGATGCTGATGGCCCACTGCTCCCTGTGTCTACCTGCAAGGCAGCTTGGCCTGGGAGGCCTGTGGCAAGTTGACGCAGGCCTTCGGGGCCCAGGTGGTTGGAGGAGAGGTCGAGCAGGGCCAGGTTGGGCATGGTGCCCACAGCAGCCAGCAACTCAGCAGCACACCCATCCCCTAGCCGATTCCCTGCCAGGCGCAGCTCCCGGAGAGTTGTGTGTAGCTTGAGGGCCCGCAGCAGCGGTGTGAGCTGAGCCTGGTACAGGCCCAGAGAACAGGCGCTGAACGTGGGGCTTGAGCCCTGGTGCTCCACAGCCTGCAGCACCTGTGGATGCTCCCCTGGGAGGGAGGGATGTGGTATCATGGGACCAGAGCTTGCCCTTTCTGCCCTCTGAATCCTGGAGGCTAAGCCAAAGATGTCCCTTCTCACTAGCCCAGGGAGCTGCCAAGCAGAGGCCCTACAGAGGCCACTCCCACAAGCCTGTGGGCCTGATCACCGCCATATCTCATAATCCCCAAGAAGCTTCCCTGGCAGCTTGCAGCCCACATCAGACTCCTCCAGGGGCCTGGTGTTGTGGCTTTGGTGACTTTATGCCACCTGCCTGGCAGGGGGGACAGGGCCATCTTCCCCCATCCCCATCCATAGCACTCAGCAGGACCAGGTGAGGTGCCCCATACATTCGAGGCTTACAGACCTGGCAGGAAGGGCGAGTAGGGCCCTCTGCACAGGCCTCCTGGCACAGCCTCACCCAGAAACCATGGGTCTCTAAGCCCTCACCTTGTCCTAGGCTCTGGCAAGCCCTACTGTAGCGGTCAGCCAATGGTGGGAGGTCCCATGATGTGACTTCAGCCAACACCTAGAAAGCACTGGTGGTCAGCAACTCCAGGATGCCTGGTGCCTGAGGCACTTGGGCCTGCTGCTCACCTCATCATTGCTCTGCAGCACATCACGGA